AGCGAGTACTACGAATGCAGTCGGTACAAAGAGAATCCTGATATTGTAAACCAGAGTCAGCAAGCACAGGCCAGGGAGGCCCTTAAGAAGTACTTGTTCTATTTTGAGAGGGTAGGAGACATCTCTTTGGCCAGAGCTGCTGTAGCCTTTTAATGCTCCCTGCCTGGTGCAAAGGTCATTGCCAGCAATCTCCGTGCAAGAAACTGCCCAAAGAGAATTTGTGCTGAATTTTCAGGCCCTGTTCTTTCTTACTTCAGTCCCGCCCTGTGAGTCCCATCCAAACAACTAATATCATCCCCAAAGGAAATCACATTTGCTCCTGCGTTTCCTTGTGCTAGAGAAAATCGGTATTACCCCTGTGCCACTATATTGTTTTCCTGCAGGCTGAGTGCTGCTGCAGTAGGTAGATACTGCTCCTATTAATTTCCTTTCAGGATTGGGGAACTTCAGCTCCTTGCAGTATGTCTTTATAGAAGCAAAGAATAAATTCCATTCAAAACTCCATTGGCTTTAGCAAAGCTTTCCTAAAGAGTCACATAATGATATTTTTTTAATTGCAGTCACAGCACCTCTGTCCACACAGCTGACTCAATGCACCTGGACATACGGTGCAATTCTAGAACAGCATCTCTAGAAGAGAACGTGGTAGAGGTTCAATTCTGCTGTGTTTCAGTGCACTTGTTCTCCCTATTAAAATGAGTTTATTTTTCATTCTATGAGCCAAGTCCTATGATAAAATAAATGTGTTCATTCTTGGCTCTCTAGAGCAACAGGCTTTGGGAAATGGCCATGCTTACAACGTGCATGTGGGTGTTAGAGTCCACTGAGACCATGTTAAATGTTAATTTGAACTTTTGTCCTTTATATAGCAATCCTTTAAGTAGGGGAATCGCTGTTACTTCCCATCGTGTTAGATACAAGGTCGCTGTGCAACCCGAGGGCATTCCCGTTCTGAGGAGCTGGGTTTGCTCCCTGCTCTTTCCTGCCATCAGTCTGTTGTACACAGCCTCCGCTACTTGCTACTGGAGCCGCTCCCTTGCTGTTCTTTCCCACAGCATGTTTTGCCTTGCTGGACTCCTGTCCCACTTTGATTTCTGCTTGCTAGAGCTTGTGCTTTTACTGAAGAAGTATTCTGGTCTCATGCTGTCTTTTTCTTTCCCCTTCTCCCCACCCCTTGCAGTGGGAGAATCACAATAAAAGCTTGCAGCTGGAGGCACAGACGTACCAGCGAATCCAGGAAAAAATTCAGGAAAGAGTTATGAACAACTTGGGAACATGGATAGACTGGCAATACCTACAAAATGCTGCAAAACTCCTTGCAAAGGTGGGTAGGTGTGACTTGTTTGGTGCAGAAAAAAGAATCTACACTCGAGAATGCTGAATTCACAACACCTAGTGAGAGGAAGGGAATTTGGGGATTATGGATGTGTGAGACAGTACTTCCAGTCTAGGCCATGAACTAGCCAAAAATTATCTGGAAGTGACCTCTGGAAGCTTACACTTTAACTGTACAAATCCTTCCAAGGAAGGTGTAGGAAGTTCCAGCATCAAGTGTCCAGTCATCCTTGTCAGAAGGTAGCTTGTTCTAGTGACTGTAGACAACTGACTGTGCTGACTTCCAGGTCTGAGCTCTTGTCCTTCTTTTCTCTCCCTCTTCCCCTCCGGCCCCCCACAGTGTCGTTATACCCTGCAGTACACATATCCATATGCCTACTACATGGAGTCTGGTCCCAGAAAGAAACTGGTAAGATGTTTTGCTCTTTTTTTCGCTTACAGCTTTTTGGGGTGTAGCTGGCAGCATGCTGGGATGAGTGGCTAGACAGACATCCCTCTTCAATTCCAGAGCTTGAGTGTCTGAAATAATAGTCCTGAGTTTGAGGTAAGGACAGGACAAACATACGTGGTTTTGCAACTTTTCTCCTCACTTTGAGTGGACCAGCAGCTCAGTCCTCTGATGTGTTACATTGTTTTCCCAGGGCAGCCCTGCACTTTCACTAACAAGCAACTTATCCAAAATATTTTGAGGCTTGAAGTGTACCAAGTGCCTTGGTAAGACTATGGCAGTGCTATAGCTAGTATCCAAGCTCTTCCCATAGAACACATCATGTGTGTTCTCTCGGGCTGCGCACAGACGTTCTTGTGGAGCTGACTGTGCCAGTGGAACAAGTTACTGCTCCCGGCGGTGGTTAGCAGTCCCTCAGCTCTGCCTGCAGAGCTGCTCACAAGAGCATTTCCTGACCCACTTACTGGCAGAGTGAGCTGAGTTAGTAGGTATTTGTGGCTTGTAGTGTTTCTAGGCTGACATGGTTAATTTTGAGTGATGCAGGTTGAGGAGTGCTCACACAAGGAACTCCTGGAAGCTAAAGGCAGATCGGGAGGAGGCACAAACCTGCTCTGCCAGCACAGCTGTCAGCAGAACACATTTGTCTGCTCCTCAAGTATAGCTTGTGGAATGAGGCTGCTCCACTAAGCCAGTTTCTTGTTGCTGTCTCTAATTTTGCTGTTTGCAGTTTGAATACCAGCAGGCCCAGCTGGAAGCTGAAATTGAAAATCTCTCATGGAAGGTGGAGCGAGCAGACAGCTATGACAGAGGGGTGAGTGTTCTGCTTGCTTGAGCCTGCTGGCCAGATTTTGGAATGGTCAGGCTTTGCACTTCTGCAGGAGAGCTAAGGCAGCTCAGTGAGGTTGCTGAGAGACTAGACCCAGAATCTCGCCGTTCTTCCTTTAGCCCAGTGGGTGTTGTAAAAATGGAATGCTCGCTGCTTTACGGGAGAGGAGGGAGGGCTGCAGTGAGTCCTGGAGAACTGAAGCAGGACCAGCAAAACTGTGGAGGAAGCTGCCTGTGGACCTCTGGTTAAGAGCAGATTCCTTAAGCGCTTGGCTTTTTAGACAGAGCAAGAGCTGGGTAATAGCAGTCAGCCTATGTCAAAAGGAAGCAGGATCTGTAATGTTGTGATCCAGAATTCACGTGAAGTGTGAAGGTTGGTGTTTATCAGATGAGCTGAGTCCCTAAAAAGAAATGTACTTGCATCTGGGGAATTCACACTAACTGTTGCTACCTTTTGTTTTACCAGGACTTAGAGAACCAGATGCACATAGCGGAGCAGAGACGAAGGACCCTGCTGAAAGACTTCCATGACACATAAGACAGGAGGAAATGACAAAGTGCAGGGGTGAGAGCAGCAAGTGAAGTGATGGCAGCTTCACCAGGATAAGCAGGCACTGCCTCTGGGAGAACACGGCCAAGGACAAAGCCACCCCTCCCCTTGCAAGTCAGACACATGCAAACACCACATCTTAGTCCAGTTTGTTCTCTTATCTTTCTGTTTCTGTTTCTGCCAGGCTAGAGGCCAGAGTTCAGATTGGCATATTTCCTGGGACATTTCCCTCCTGCCCTTGATGGTTTCAAAAGGGGAGGGAGTTTTTCTCTGAATGGCTGTTAATAGTATTAGATCATTACAATTTATGTAATTTTCAACGGTTGTACAATTATACAGACAAACCTTAGAATAACACACAACCCTTTTTAAAAATAAATTGGCAGTGGAGTGTTTTTCCTTAATCTGCTGGTAAATTTTAATGGGCTTTTCCCTCTCTCCTGCTCCCTTCCTCTGACCCAGAAATCCTCCTAGGCAGGGAAGGAGACTACAAAATAACTCGGCTATATTTCCTGATGCTCCTTTAGCCAGGACATTGTAGCATTGGCATTGCATGAGGAGAGTGGCTGGTGTTAAGAGTGGCTGCTGCTGTGTCTGACCTGACAGTACCAGCAGTGGCTGTGATTTAGAATGATTACATGCAACGTCTCTTTTCTTGTAAATCAGCTGTGCAAAGTCCTGCTGCTCAAACAAAAGCAAACAGAGGAATTGTAGGGGAGGGAGCAGGTTAACAACGGGGGGATATGCCTTGAGCCAGGTCACATTCTGCATTTGATGAATTTTAGGTCTTCCATGTAGATTTTTTGCTTTCCTTGTTTTTGTGGGGAGGGTGTTGTATTGCCAAAGTGAGTGATGAGGGAATAGTAGCATACAGTTGTTAATCAAAGCTTGGGGCTTTTTCAGGGTGAAACAATCCATGCAACCTGGTAAAGAATACTTGTGCCTGCTGGGTAACATGGTTGAGAAAATTTGATCCCATTCATCAAGGTGAAACTAAAACTCCGCGACGCTATGAGGAGGAACGATTATGTACAACACACTTCCTGGCACTTGTTGGCAATGTGGACAGGCACTTGAACCTGGGTGCACTGCTCGTGCAGAGCCTGCACCAAGCCAGGCAGGAAATTAACTAGCAAAATTAATTTATTTGTATATTAGTATCAATACTTGGTGAGGACTTATCAGAAAATTGGTTGTTAGGAGCATGTGGAGCTTTTCTATTAACATTTTTTCTAATGTAAAATATACACTAAAATAAAAATATGAAAACCTAGTTCATCTTGGTAGGGGTTAACGTGAAAAAAAAAAAAAAAAGGTTGTTTGAATGTTGATGCTTGCCTGTTTGCTGTAGGAAGCAGGCCCCGTGTTCAGCTTTCACAGGTGTGTGTCCAGGAGCGGGGGGCGTGCGGCCGGTAAGGTGGAGCTGGAGCCTCTGAGTTGAGGACATCGGGGGCTCCTCTTCCATGCTGTATTGCCTTTGACGTGTTCTCTGCCAAGTGATGATGTATAAAAACAACAAAGGTTAAACTGAGGGGGTGGGGAGGATGCTGAATTGCTGCGTGTCAGCAGCTGGGGCCGTTCTCATCAACCTGAGCCACGAGGCAAGCTTTGGCAGCAGGTACAACCGGATGGGTGGATGGGAATGAGGGATGCTGAGAGAAATACCCACCCTGGGAGCTAACCCCGTGCCCGCTGCTTGTCCCCAGCGGAGATTCCCAACGGGGAGAGGGCCGCTCCCTCCCCTCCCAGGTGGACGATAAGAGAACGGGGGCTTCACGGAGCCAAGGGCTGCGACAGGGGGAGGCCGTGCGGCACCTAGCGGGCCCACACGGCCGCGGGAAAGAGCCGGCAGCCCCGGTACCGGCAGGGGGGGGCAGCAGCGGCAGCAGCAGCGGCACCGTGGCCGTGTCCCCGCCCGCTGACGCAGCAGCCGCCCGGTTACCGCGGCGACGCGCGGGGCCTGGCGGGGCCGGGACGCGCTGATGGCGGCGGCGGCGGCAGGGCCTGAGGGGCCCCCGCTGCCCGGCCCGCCCGGGGGCCGCCCGCGGCCCGTGTGCTCGCGGCCCTATTTCCTCGTGCTGATGGTGTTCGCCCACCTCTACGTGCTCAACGTGCTGGGGCTGCTGCTCTTCGTGCACCTCAGCGCCGGGGATAACGGGGGCTCGCCCGCAGCCCCCCTCAGCGCGCCCGTGCCGCCCCCACCGCCGCCCGCCCGCGCCCTGCCGCGTCTGGAGGGCATCAAGGCAAGGCCGGGGGGGGACAGCGGGGACGGGGACGCTGTGGGGACGCTGTGGGGACACCGCCGCTCATCGCCGCTCTCCCCACAGGTCGGCCACACGCAGCGAGTGGAGCTGGTTCCCGGTAGGGCCCACGCCGTGCGCACCCTCAGCCTCAAGCCGCTGCTCTTCGGTGAGTGCCGGCACCGGGAACCGGGCACCGGGCTGGGATCCCTCAGGGGATGGGGCTGTGTGGGGTGGGTGTGGGGTGGGCACCTCCCGGGATGTAACGCCGGGATTCGACCCTGGGGTTTGGAAGGTTGCTTGGAAGGTGGATGGTGAGGTTGGCTGTAAGCGTCACTAAAGGGCTGGTGATTGATTAAAGGGTTGGTGATTGATTAAAACCTGGCCCTCCACACATCACACAGCCCCCCCAACCCACCACCCGTTCAAAGACGAGCACTGAAGAGGACCTCAAAGAAGCCCCCGGGTGTTAGGGAGGGACGGGGGCGCGAGAGGTTTTGGCAGTAAACGGTGCTGAAGTGACTCGGTGCTTCAGTGCCGAGGTGAATAATGGCAGTGCCAGACTTGGTGTCTTCCACCGTCCTGCGTCCTGCTCTAGATTTATCTTTATTTCTGGCTGCCCTGGCGCACACCCACACAACATCCCTATTTCAGATACTTTAAAGCCGCCTTTACCTTTCTGTGATTCTTGCAGTGGCTGGCAAAGTCTCCCTGGTTGATCTCTGTATTCTAGAAATCCACAAGAATATACAAACTGATCTTTGGGAACAAACAATTATGAAGTCCCTATTACTACAAAGTCAGGGAAAACCTGTTGTCTCTGAAAAAATGATGCTGAGAGTCTTCTGGGTGCTTTGTCAATGGTACGAGTTCTCCTCTGATTAAAAATTAACTATACACGCTGAAAACCTGGCCATCAATCAGATACGTTTCTTATTAGGGTCCTTTAATGCAACAAGTATCTGTAGGAAATACACAGAGTTCTCTTGTCATTTCTACATAGGTGACGCTCCTGGTTTGCAAATTTCTAAGTGGATTTCTGAAAGACATTCATTGAATTGACACACACACCCCCCTCAGCATTCACAGGATTGTTCTAATGCCCAGACTCAGGATCCGGGGTGATCAGGCTGCTTTTCCTGCTCCTGTTTCCACCTTCTCTGCCCCGCTGGTACTGCTTGTGTAAAAGAGCTGATCCCGGCCTGCAAGGAAGGAGCTGAAGCTGATAAAGCCAGTCCTGGCAGCGGTAATCCCACAGCCTGTGGTGTGTCACTGGCACCTCTGCCAGGTTCTGGGGCAGACTTTGCCCTCTGAGGTTGGCATCAGGGAAAGCTCAAGGGACAGCGATGGACAGTCAATGTCTCGGATCCCCCACAAGTCTGTTCCCTTCTCTCCTCCGATAAGAGGCCCTTATTTAGAAACCTCGACTTGCAAGACCGCTCTTATCTCCCAGATGAACCTGCCAGGAGCCAGCCCTGGCTTTAAAAGGCTTCCAGAGACTCCTCTATCTATGCAAACACCACCGATCTAAACTAACTTTTAAAAGCTAATTATTGTGTTGCTGCTGTTTAAACAAGCGGAGGTGTGGATTTAACGGGGCAGTGTTAGACGAAACCAGGAGTCCCTGGCAAAGAGAGGCTCCTGAAGTTCTGGGGGTTTCACTTCACGAGAAGTGTTGTAGCGTGTGCAAGAGCCAATTTAAGGAAATAAGTGGCTTTTAGCAAAGCTGGCTGTAGTGGGACTGCAGGCAGCGGACGGCTCGTTAATGGCTTAATGTGAGCTCTGTGCTCCGGAGCACGGGGCTGGGCACCACCAGGGACCTTGCGGTTTGTTTTTTTAAATGTGGGTAAGGCATCTATCTGCATTGAGCCCCAGTGTATTTCACGGAGCTATGCAAAAGTCCCTGCCCTATTTTTTCTCCCCTCTGGCTACGAGACGTCATTTCTAAAGCTTGTAAGTCAGACCATCTGTGCGCTTCTTAGTTAGGAAACACTAGTAATCAAATAATCCTGTTAATGGAAAACAAATATCAGACAAAGCCTTTTCAACCTTCGGAGCTTTTACTTGTTCTGTTGTGTTTTCAAAATGCAGTCTGTTCGGAGGACGCTGCCCCTGCAGGGACCGCCTGGCAGCCGGTTCTGCGGATTGGGCGGCAGGCTGCAAGGCAAGGCAACGGGGAGGAATAAAAATAGGAAATCTCGCTGCGTTTTCCGCCGGAGCCTTGGGGAATAGAAGTAATCGCTGCACAAATGTCAGGGCGCAGCTGAATTTCAGTGGGAGCAGCAGTGAGTGCTAATCTCAGCCCACACCGAATCTGAAGAGGCAATCTCTGCTCGGGCTGCTGGTGTGCTTTACGAGCACAGGGAGGCAATGTGTCTCCACCAAAGCTGCTGGCTCTCTCCACAACTGAGGCTGCCGACTTCTGCACAGGGAAGGACATATTTATCCCCAAAGCTGTTTTCCTCTGTCGTCTCCTTATTTCAGTCCCAAGTTTAATCCAGTGTAGAAAACTTTCCACGGACAATGCTTTGTTAGGCAGCAGCAATCCGAGTTATTTTCTCATGAGGGGTTGCTGTGCTCTGCTTTGTGGTCTGTCGTGTCAAGCTATGGCAGTGTTCACTGCTGAAAGTAATTACAGTCTTGGGTGAGAGAGTGATCTGCGTAGAGCTTCGTGAGGCTGGGTGTTGCCCTGTTTTCTGTCTTTTCTGCGTGCAGAGGGAAGTGTAACGTTTCTGAGCTGGCAGGGGGAAGATGTGCAAAGAAGGGAGCTTAGGTTGTGCAGAAATACCTGCTGCCAGGCTGGGGCTCACCTCCGAGCCCCAGGCAAAAAGCTGCTGCAAACCAAAGCGGAGCTGTTCCAGCAGCTGAGGTCCCAGCCCTGCTCTGCTCTCTCAAGGCTCTGGTGGTACCTTCGGTAATTCTGCAGTTACCAGAATCTTCTGATCCAAACTGAATTTCTAATGTAAAAAAAGCATCCCTAGTGGTGCAGAAATCCTCAGCTCACTCTGCTGTGTGCCTTTCCTGCTCGAGGAGGGCTGTTTCCTTTTACCTGTGCAGATGCCCGTGAATGCCCAAGCAGTGAGCTGAAGGGACAGCCTGAGCTCAGGGGATGAGGTTTGCCTTAATTTTTAAGGGGCCTGGCATTGCCTGGGTGGGTTCCTCTCCCCCCTTAACTTACTTCAGGCTGTTCAAAACTAAAGTATTTGCTCCGTTACATAAAAAGCATCTCTAATCACTCAGGGAAACTTTAGTATCATCCTTGTACAGAAAGTGAGCCCACACTTGGGCAAGATCAATGTTATCTGAAGTCCTGGATTTGCAGAGCCTTGAGAGAGGAGCGTGTCAGGGCTGTGTCCATGAGCTCTGTCTCAGTAAAATAGCTCTAGGGATTTGTCAGGGATCTGTGGTGAGGCCCTATCTGCTATGACTGCTTTGAATCACCTAAAAATACTGTGCACCTCCGGAAGACCGACTGCCTGGAAGAGGAGTTTTCTAGCCGTAGGAAAGGGAGCGGTTTCTCCTTGGTGAAGTCAAGGTTTTCATCAGACCTTCCTGGCAGCCTGCTCGGGGCAGCGGTGATGTTTCCACCTGCGCACCGCCTGGTGCAGGTTCCTGTTCTTCTTCTGCCAGGCGTAGGCCTTGTTCACCACCACTTTGTCGCTCTGCACCTCTCCGCTGACGACGAAGACCCCCGCGTGGGTGCCCCTCATGATGTTGTGGGCGCAGGTGGCGTCGATGTCCAGCCACTGCTGGAGCCTGCCCGGGATCTCGGTTCGGAGGAGCGGGCCGTGCTTCAGGACCTCCACCCTGGAGGGGTCCAGGTCAAAGTCCGAGACTGTTGTGGTCGTGTTCTTCCTGAGGATTCGGATTTTCACCGCTGGAGGGGGAAAAAGAGCTGTTAGTTCTGTTCACGTTTCACAGCTCCCGGCTACTTAATGCACCAATGTGAGGCTTTCTCGCTGTTCTCTGATGTGGGGGCACAGCCATCTGACCCCGTGGAACTGCAGTGAACCTATAAAAGTTCTCAGCTGTGGTTAGTGTCCCCAGTACTGAAGGCTCTTCTTTTCACTCTGCTTTTCTCATGAGTGAAGAAGGCACGGCAGCTCCGCGGCACGGGCAGGAGCCCTGCAGGAAGCAGCGGCACAAGCAAGTGGGTGCAAAAAATCCTGGGCTCGTGCAAATCACCAGGCTTTTCTCTGAGCTGGGATTTTGGGATGACATGGCTGCCAGCTGCCCAGGAATTTAACTGCTCTTTTACAGGTCTTGGGCCTTAATTCAGAAGAATGTCCTGCAAACTTCAGGCCAGCAAACTGAGCAGATTCAGGTCTGCCACCTGCTTGGGCTGGGAGAGGGAGAGTGGCACTACTGGGATGATGGTATTGCAGTTTGAAATAGCTAACGTGGAGTTTGTGAAGGGTTTTATGGGCATCGACTGAAATGCTGGTCTCTGAGAAAACCAGTGCAGTGCTTGTGTCTAGCAGACAGGCTGAAAACAAGTCAGAGCCCACAGAAAATAAGCAAGACTTCCCCTTCGGTGCTGCATGGGTCTGGCTCGTCCTGCTACTTAACAGGTAAATTGAGAACTGAAAATCTCTGGGATCTGCTGTAAAAGCTGCAGTTCCTCCAAGTCGTGTTTTTGTGGCCAAGCCACTTTCTGTGCATGCCACTGCTTGGCTGCTGGAGGCAGTGCCAGCGACTGCAAGGAGGAGGAGGAATAGGGTGCACTCACCGAAGTCGTTGGCGCAGAGGTTTTCCAGGATCTCCCTGGCGCTGCTGGCCTCCTCCAGCTCGCAGTCCTTGCAGCTGGCTCGGGGCACTGCTGCAACAGAAATGTGGTTACACCACCCTTGTCGAACCTTGCTGGAAAAGGCATAAAACAATTCGGCTCGCAGTTTTGAAACAGCGCTTCCTCTGGAGCGACCCAGTCCCCGAGGGACAGCCTGGGCTGCCGGGATGGAAAGTTAAGCTCTCTTTGCCATGCCTGGGGCAGGCAGCGCTCGCCGTGCTTTGTTTCAGCTTGCGTTTGCTGCTGCTTGTTGCAGCCGCAGTGAAAGTGCTTAACGATGGCTGCTCCTTGGGATGAGACTGAAAAGCAGTCCGTGTGGCCAGGTTCCACCCGGTGAGGCTGAAATTAGGTGGTTTTTCTCCCATTAGCTTCTGTTCATTCTCTCACCAGTGTTTGTTACTATCTGGGTGCTTTTTGTCCTTTAGCCTTAAAGATGTTTTCTTACGGAGCTCACCTCTGCAGAGGATTGTGCCCCTTTGTGCTGTTTCCTAACATTTAAAGAGGGGGCTTGAAAAAACCTTTCTGCATGTTTGTAGCAGAAACACCAGGGCTGCAGTGCCCAGCTCGGCTGGAAGCACCCCTTGCCTCCTGGAGGCTGCACGCCGCGCAATCCTGCATCTTTTACTGAGATTTCTCCCCCCTGCCCCAAGCCCTGTGGGGTCTGAGGACACCCAGGTGACCGACGAGCACCCACGGGAACGAGCTCCAGTCAGCGCTCTGCTCATTCCCTAGTCACAGGGGAGTTCTCCCAGAGAACAAAATTCCCATTTTTGTTTTAAATATAGCTTACAGCCAGCATAAACAAGGCACAGGCTCGTGCCCATGGGGGGAAAAAGAACGAGAAAACCCCTTACTTCTCCTGCTGGAGGAGCTTTCGTCCGTGGAGACCGCCGAGATGCACAGCTCGTGGTCTGCAGGAAACTTGTCGCAGTTGAGGATTTCGGGCCAGGGGTAGCCGTAACAAGCCATGACGGGCGCGCAGCTCCTCTTGACGGTCTCGCACAAGCTGCGGCAGGGGTAGATGAGCCTGGGGAGGGAGGCGGGATGGGATGGGATGGGAGCAGCAGCCGGATGGCTCAGCCCAGGGAGCAAACAACAAAAGGCTGGTTTTTGGTAGTCAGTTGGGAATTTTATTACCCCCCCACCCCCTCGTGAGTGTTTGTGTTTCACGCTCAGAGGGAAGGTCCCTGCTGGGTGATGCCTTGTCCCCTCGCTGTGCGGGGCAGCATTGCCTGAAAGTGACCACAATGATCGGATTTCACATGTTTTGTCTCGGGAGGCGAGTTCAGTCATGCTGCTGGGGACTCTTAACTGCCTACGGCTGAAATAACTCATAAAAACCTCTTACCTGTCCAAGCAGATCGGGGCAAAGAGAGAGCAGAGGAAAATCCTGGCGTCGGGGTGGCACTCCCTGGCCAGCAAGGGCAGCCAGCTGGAAGACTGCTGGATGACTTCAGGCATGGTCTCGTGCTCCAGCAGGTTGGGGATCCTCATCTCGGAGTAGCCGATGTCGTAGCACAGCGCCATGCCCCGTGGGATGGCCGTGCAGCTCGACGACCTCCTCAGGTAGCTCGCCCGCGTCCCTGGGCAGCCCCAGAGCAGCAGGCGCACCAGGAGGCCCGGCAGCCAGCGGCCTCCCCGCCTCGAGGGCTGCCTGTGCCTGGCCTCCTCCATCCTCGCAGCGGGCTCGGAGCGAGCGGCGCAGCCCGGACTGAGCCGCCGCGGACTGCGGGCTGCCTTTTATAGCCCGCGAGCCACCTCCGTGACGATCCATCCTCATTAAGTGCGGCCCTTTCAGAGCCCTCGTGGGGAAGACAATGCTCCAATTTTCGTTTGCCAGCGGCCCCGATTGTTTAGATTTTAGCAGGGGTTTGGCTTAGATCAGCAGGTGTGGAAATGAGGGCAGCCGGGGAGGGGTGAATGACTTGGCCGTGTGTCTCGGGGCCCTCTGTTTGACACCAGCGCGCCAACCCATCCCCTTTCTCTCGCTCTGGGATTAGTCATTATTTCATAAACCCCAATGTTTTCCTCTCTTTTGTGTGTGTTTTTTTTTTTTTTGGTAAAAGCAATCAAGTGTTGCTCAAAGTCAATTAGGAGGCATTTGTTTAGCTGGATCTATTGTTGAGCGGGCAGGGAGATAGGATGGTCTCGCAGCCAGAAGTTAACTGTTTCGCAGAGCTGAGGAACCAATTTACAGCTGTGGAGGGAGGCTGTTTGCGCTCCCGATTGCTGGCGCTTAGCTGGAAGCCCCCTCACCTTGCAACCTGCCTGGCACAGAGCGCTTCCTGGCTAACACGATTTGTACTCCGTTACGAAATCCTATTACCACCGCTGAAGAGAGGGATTGTCCTTCCTCCGGCATGTAATTAAGATTCCAGAGTCATTATTTTAGCCCAGTTTGAGGAAACTGGAAATACTGGGACCGCCGCTTGCCAGCCGGTAAGCTCTGAGCCGCTTAGCTCTGACCTGGTGCCGTGCCACCAAGTGGATCCCGGCCGGCGGAAGCATCCCCTGCTCCGAGGACTCTGTGCTGCCGGGGGCAGAAATTGTTTCCTCGGAGGGTGTTACAGATACAGCCGGCTGCATTGTGTTTCTGGGCCTTCGTTTCAGTTTCTGCAGGGCGAGTTCTGGTTTGTGCTTAGCAAGAAGCCAACTGCACAGTGACAGTTGGAGCAGATAGGGTTGAGTTAAGGTCATGGAAGTAATTACCTTTTTTTTTTTTCCTCTCCCCCTTTGAAGGATTGCTGCTGTGGCTGGGATGTAACCTGTCCTCGGCACACACCTGCAGAAGCTCTGTGGGGCTGCAGTTTAGAGAGCAGGACTCGTGGTCTAGGAGCAGCCGTAGCAGTGACAGGAGCCAGGCTGCGACATGTCCCCAGCCATGTAACCACGCTGCACGAGCGTGTGTGCAGTGCACCGTGCAGCCAGAGATCTCAGCCTCGCAGCCATCAGTGGGGGCTTAATTTAAATTCTCTTAATGACAATTTGCTTGGGATCTGAGAACTGCGTGACTGCTGCTGTTGTGCTGCAAAGTAAAGGCAGCGATACCGGGATGCTGCCTGGGTACGGAGCGTGGCATCCGCAGTGTGCAGGGCCTTGCGCTTTAATAACACATTGAAAGATCGTTTTTAGCTGGGGATCAAGGGAACAAATGGGAATAAGTCAGGAAGCTGTCTCCTTGCTGTTTGAGTTTCACAGTAGAGCAGTGTGGCAGGTTCCCCCGAAAGGCATTCGGTTCTTTGCTGAGTGCTGCCTGCTCCACGTGAGAGCAGGGGGGCCTGAAACCCTGCCCATCACCGCCTCCACTGCAAAGACTTCTGGCCTCCCTTCCTGCAGAGCAGTAGTTCCCAGACTGCGCTCCACACGTAACCTTTGAAGTGATAATATGCAGCGATATGCCCGTGTTTGTTCTCTCCTTTGTGCATTGTGCTGGTCTGCAAGAAACTGAAGGGCTTGACCCCAGGGTCCAAACATTTAGGAACTGCTGCTGTAAAAATACCCGCCCCCGCCCTCCGGTGTGTGGTGTGTGCTGTTTTAGAGCTCTGCAGGTAGATGGGTGGATGTGTTTGAACGTCCCATCCCCCCGACTTCTTAGGAAGTTTCTAAATTTCAGTTTCTTTTTCTCTTTTGGGTGGCCTGCCATTGGTAAGGGTCCCACTGTAACAGTTCCTCAGTCTCTGTTGCTGCTCACACTTTTCCTGCAGAAATTCCTGACTTCCTGACAGAGGAGGAATGCAAGCTCATCATCCATCTGGCACAGCTGAAGGGGCTGCAGAAGAGCCAGATCCTACCAACGGATGACTATGAAGAAGCCATGGAAATGATAGAGATCAGCCAGATGGACATTTTCAATCTCCTTGACCACAATCAGGACGGACAGCTGCAGCTCAAAGAGGTAGAGTGAATTTCTCCTTGCTAGGTATCCTTCTGAAGTGAATGTGTTCTGTTTGTGCAGCCTGTGCCAGAGCTGGCTGTGCCTTCCCACAGCTGACAGGACATCAGCAAAGTCTCCCATATTAATGAGTCTGGGGGATAACGAGCACCCTGTCCGCAGCTCTTCAGCACCCTTGTCCTGTATGGCAGGGTGCATCCAGGCAGGGTGCATCCATTTGCCATGACCTAAACTGGAAATAACAGTGCAGATCAGCCACTTGGTGTGGGGCTGCCAGGTGATTCCCACTCGAAGCTTTCTGCAGTGATGTGCTGACACCTGGCTGACTGATGCTCTGCAGAGGAGAGTCAGCAAGGCCTTGAGCAGGGAAGTTGTAGGGCTGTGTGAGTGCAAGACACCAGTGCCCATTGGTTGATCCAGTTCTGAATTTCAGGTGTTGACCCACACCCGCCTGGGGAACGGCAGGTGGATGACTCCCGAAAACATCCGAGAGATGTACACTGCAGTCAAGGCCGATCCTGATGGGAACGGTAAGAGCTCTGCTTCCCTGGCAGGGGAGGGTGGCATCAGTGGATTTGGGGGTCACCTTGGTCAGCTTTTGGTGCTGAACCCCTTCCCTGCTGCCGCCAGCTCTCTGTATCCCAAGAGGCCACTTCTGCCCCTCTTTCCCCTGGTCTCCCAAGGGCTCCCGCTGGCCCGGACGTGCACTCTAACCTCTGCTGCTCTAATTAGAGTGTCCTCAATTAAGCAACTCTTCATTTCCTAATCAAATTAAGTGAATGCACAGGCTGTGCATGCTCTCTTCCAGTGACCTGGCATTGAGAGCACCAGAGAGGAGCTGCTTTGGAGTTGAAGCAGTACCCATGTGAATGGCCAAATATCCGGAAGGCACCCCATGCCCCGGGCTGGTGGCATTCTTGGCAGGGGCAGGAGCGTATGACTGAGTCGTCAGTGGCTTTTCCACCACTGTGGACACGTACAAATGGAAGGTCCTGTTAGAGGGCTCTTGGCAAGACCTTGTTTCCAGAGAGCAGCTTCCCTCCATTGTTGGGCTGGTGCGTGCCACCAAGGGAGCAGGTCACAACCTGGATGTGGCACTGCGTCATCCAAGACCACGTGGAGCAAGGGGAAGCAGGGACAGGGAGATGTGAGCAGGATGCTAGAAATGAGACTGGTGGATGATTTGGTTATGGTGGATGATTTGGTTATGATGAGCAGCACCTGAGGAGCTGCCCTGGGCTGACCTCGGGGGCTGGTCCTTTCTCCTGCCTGCGGGTGCTGCGTGCCCAGGAAGCAGCCCCGGCAGCATGCAGCAGTGTATTTATTACCTGCTTCTGCTGTCTTCCCACAGGCGTGCTGAGCCTGGAGGAGTTCAAGCAGCTGAATATCCGCGATTTCCACAAGTACATGGGAAGCCAGAAAGTGAAGACGAGTGACTCAGTGCGCAACAGCCAGCACACCTGGCTGTACCAGGGCGAGGGGGCGCACCAGGTCATGAGATCCATACGGCAAAGGTAAGGGCTGAGCAGCCGCGGGGCGGTTGGGTTTGTGTAGGCGAAAGGACCACCTGTGCTGGGAGACGCAGTGGCAGACTTGTTAATATTCACACTTCCTAATTGCGTGAAAATCTGGAGTATAAAGAGCGTTGAACGCGGGCATGAAATGGGGAGAGGAGGTTCTCATTAGAACAAGAATTTGTATTGTCCCCTGGAAAAGGAAAAAGAAAAATCAAACCTTTCAGCATATCCATTCACTTTGGGGAACAGCCCTATAAAACCAAGAAGACTTGGCATTATATGAAATAATTCATTCTAATTAGTAAACGAGCTTACTGGGAGAAACTGCCCGTTTCCAATCCTGTCTGGGTGCCAGTAGTTACTGTCATTTGCTTTAGTTACTCATGCATTTCACCGGAGTCTGTCATAGCTGTTCAGAGCTGACTGAATAATAAGCACAACTTTATCTTGAGAAAGCCGAGTTAGTTTGATCATCTGAGTGCATGGATCACAGGGTGTCTCACAGCAGATGGGAGAACCTCTTACCTTTCCCTTCACCTCAGCTTTGGTACTGGGAAGAGTTGAAACCCAGCTCACAGGCCAAATCGTTTAGCTGTGGTGAGTTTCAGATAATTGGCTGGAGACTCGCTCCTTCTTGCGGTGCTGGTCCTCGCCCAGGACATGGGTGGGTAAAATCTGTCCCCAGGCTTGAAAACGGCCGTTGGCCACTCCTTTTCTTCAGCACATTCCAGAGGGAGAATGGGGTCGCATATTGCCTTAATTAGAGCAGACTGTGGCTGCCACTTTCTCCGTGCCAGCTAGCCGGCGCGCACAGGCGCTGGCGTATTGCATTCACCCTCTTCGGTTTGCCAGCATTAGAAAGCCCCCTTGGACCCGCAGGCACACTGCTGAAGGACGCTGTTACAATCCTCCGTGGGACTGTGTGGTGCCTGGAGGGGCTTTGCCATCCCGACTCGGTGTGGCCTTCCCCTTGCGCCCACCCCGAGGGCTTCACCAGTCCAAGTTCTCAGAGCTGTGAGTGTTCTTTGGCAGGTCTCGAGCGGTACCTGCTTGCCTTGGGGATGATCTCAGATGTAAGCAGCGGAAAAAAAAACGAGCCCTCCGTGCCCCTCTGCCCTGGGGGGAGGCTGTTGAAAAGGCAACAGGGAAAGGTGAGTTAGGTGATGAGAATATTCCTAGAGTTAGTCTCTCATTCACTCTCAGCAGGGGCCTTGTGCTTTGCTAACTGTCCCCGAGGTCTGTAGGTGGTGTGCAGGAGTCCAGAGAAGCGATGAGATGGCACATGAAGGCTCCAGAGACACACACAGGAGGGATCTTTCTGAGCGAGCAAGGTCTTCATGAGAGCAGTCCTGCTGGAGATGCACCCTTCGTTTTTGTTTTTTTATTAACCTTGACGAGGAGTTTCTGAGCTGATGCTGATGGTCTAACAGATCTGTAAGGACCTAGTTATCTCTTGGCATGCTTCCTGCAGCCCATCCGTCTCTCCGGTCTTTTGGGGAAGGGGGTTTTCTTTCTCTGGATGTACTCGGTGCTTCGGGAGTAGCAGCTGACCGAACCAAAGTTGCCTTCCCCTCACCTGCTCTGCTCTCCTCTTCCCAGGGTAATGCGCCTCACTCGCTTGCCCCCCGAGATCGTGGAGCACAGCGAGCCCCTGCAGGTTGTGCGGTACGACCAGGGAGGCCACTACCATGCCCACATGGACAGCGGCCCCGTCTTCCCCGAGACTGCCTGCAGTCACACCAAGCTGGTCGCCAATGAAAGCGCTCCCTTCGAGACCTCGTGCCGGTAAGGCTTGCATGTCTGGCTGGGGGGGACTGCAGAGCTCAGTGAGGCCTTGAAAAAAAGCTTTTTGCAATCTGGAACGTTGTAGAGAAGAGGTGTGGAGAGCTGTTCCACCTCATCTCGCTTGGGACCCCTTGGTGGGGCTCACAACTGAGCTCTGGAGATTGCTGGTGTGAAGGGGGAGGTAGGTGAATCCCGTGGGGCCAGCCCGAGGAACGGAGTGGTTCTGCAGAGCTGCTGGACCATCCTCACCTGAGGCTAGAAATGCACCCTCACTGATGTGATTGGGGATTTGCTGTGATTTGGGATTTTCTCTGTTGCCCTTGTCTTGTCCTTGGGAAAAAAATGATGTGAACTGCATGTCTTGTGATGCCTTGGAGGTATGCATGGTGGAGGGCAGGGTGTGGACAGCCCCGTGCAGCTCCTCCTGCTGCAGTTGTGTCCCCTGACAGCCACTGTGCTCTGCCTTACAGGTACGTGACGGTGCTGTTCTACCTGAACAATGTGACGGGGGGAGGAGAAACTGTCTTTCCTATAGCTGACAACAGGACGTACGAAGAGATGGTGAGTGAGTCTCTCCTACATGTTACCCCTGGGGATTCTGAGGCCCACTGTGAGCCTCTGGATTCGCTGTAGCTGCAGAAGGGGTGCATGAGGTTGGTGGACGTTAGCCTTAACAGACAGAAAATGGGAAAGTTGTGTTCCACATGCAGTTTTCACTCAGAGGCCAAGGGAAGAGGTGCAGGGCTTTGGCAACTGCAGCTCTTCCCCACTGAGGTGCACATGGGGTGGTCTTCTGACCTTGCTGCCGTAACACAGGTCCTGCTTGCTTGTATCTGGGCAATTTTCCTCAGACAAGGAAAATCTTGATTAATATTTATCTCAGGATAAATCTTTCCAGGTATGCTGTGCTGCTGTCAGGCAGTGCTTTAAGGAATGGGCAGCTGCTCAGAAACAAATCATGGATCTCCAGGGGGCTGAAGTGGGCTGTTGCAAATGGGTTGTGAAAGCCCTGTCAGCCTTGAGCTGTTCCTGTGGGGCATTCAAGCAAAGGGCAGGGTGAAGGCTGGCAGCAGAGGCAACCCAGTCCACGCTTTGTTCCAGCTCTGTTTACGACACCTTCTCTGTTTTGTTGTTGTTTTTTGGCCAGTCTTTGATCCAGAACGACGTTGACCTGCGAGATACTCGGAAGAACTGTGACAAGGGCAATTTGCGAGTGAAACCTCAGCAAGGCACTGCTGTCTTCTGGTACAACTACCTGTCAGATGGAGAAGGTAGGGTTCCCCTTCAAGGCTTGGCTCTTGGGGAGGGCAGGACTGCAGGAGGTGACAGCCGTCTTCTGTGGGTTTTGCGGCAGCTGGGAGCTCAGAAGAGAGCCTAAGGGTGGTAGCTGCCTGCTAGTGGGAACTGTAGGGTCTACTTGTCACCAGCTGGCTAGGAGCTTCCTGACTCTGAAAAGCCTTTGTTTATAGGCAGTAGGTCAGTGGCTCCTGATGTCTTTGGGGGACGGGACTAGCTAGCAAACAAAGACCTTGGCTGCACTAGCCATCGCCAGCTGCCTTCCACCCTGCTGTGTGAGCTGAATCTCCTGCTGGAACTTGGTCTGCAATTCAAAGCGTGTCACTGATGTGGTGTTGCCCACAGGGATGGGGAGGGGAGGCAGACAAAGGCACGGCCATAAGCTCAGCAGCACAGGGAGGCACAGTCCACCCCGCGCGGGGCTCTGCCGTGCTTGGGGCCGGCTCCTGCTTTGTAGCTCAGCTGCAGGCCGATGATATATCTCCTTGGGGCTGTCTTTCTCACAAAGTGCAGTGCAGTTTTCCCTGACAGCCAGGCTGGGGGATTAACCTCAGTCTTCTAAGCTGTTTGGTGAGCATGACTCCAGAGCATTTCAACGGTGGGTTTTGAGCACTGGTAGGCAGGAATGTAGCATCCCATGTCTCTTGGGAGCAGCCCAGCTAGAGTTTCCATCTTGAGAAAATCCACAGCAAGGTCACAAGACCGCTGTTTGTCCCGTTGGACAATAATATCAACACTATCACTGCCCTGCTAGGAGACCCCTGTTGTATTTTTATGAGTAAATTGTTCCTAAATGGAAAAAGGCTGCAGAAGTCTGCCACAGAAAATCCATGGGATCTCTATAAAGAGAGAGGATTGATTGGAACTGCTGAACCACGATGTGTAACGAGGCCTTGAGCCTCTGGCTTCCACAAACCTTCCAGTGGCAGCACCCCTCTCTTTGATGCCACCCTCCCCTTTGAGGAAAAGTTGAGAAAAATGGCCTCTGTGAAGCAGAACGCAAGAGCCCCTTGTGTGGAGTGGAGACACGGAGACAACGGGCATTTTGCACGTGGGGAGCCCACCCTGGAGACCCTCGTGTAGGTGCTAGGATGGGGTTAGGGTGAAGGTGGAGGGGCACCAGGAGGAGCTGCCTGAACAGAGCCAGCTCCCTCCTTGTAGCTCAGTGACCCCTTACAAGCACTGCGGGTTGGGAGTAGCAGTCAGTGTGCACCCACGCTGCCTCCTAACGGTGCCTTGCTCCCGCAGGCTGGGTGGGAGAGCTGGACGACTTCGCCCTGCATGGGGGCTGCCTGGTCACACAGGGCACCAAGTGGATCGCCAACAACTGGATCAACGTTGACCCCAACCGCAGGCGGCAGCAGCGGTTCCAGCAGGAGATGGAGCGCTACGGGGGGACGGAGGCCGGGGCCGGGAGCCCGGGCGAGTGGACTGTGGACAAAGCCTACGGGGGGGCGCACGTGGAGCTGTAGGCGCGGGGCAGGCGGGCTCCGAGCACGTGGCGTTTTCCCGCGCTGTGCTGGGGGCGGGCACCGAGCACGTGGCGTTTTCCCGCGCCGGCCGGGGGCGGGGCCTCGCGGCGCGCCAATAAAGCGTGCAGGGGAGGGCGGCGCCTCCCGGCCATGGAGTCCGTGGCGCTGGTGGCGCCGGTAACGGCGCTGGAGTTCGCCGGGGACGTGCTGCTGGCGGGTGAGGGGCCGGGGATGGGCACCGGGGACCGGGATGGGGACAGGGATGGGGAGCGGGATGGGGATGGGGCCGTGGGCGGTGGCTGACGCGCTGTCCGGCAGGCACGGGCCCGGAGGTGGCGGCGTTCCTGCTGACCGGCGGCGGCGTGGCGACAGCGGCGGGGCGGCGGAGCGTGCTGCGTGAGGCCAGCGTGCTGGGGCTGCGGGCCGAGCCGGGCGGCGGTGGGGAGGGCTCCGTGGTGCGGGTGGCGGCGTTTGGCGGCCGCTGGCTGGCCGTGCTGGCGGTGCGGCGGGGGTCCGGCGGTACCGGGGGCTCCCCGCTTCTGGCGGTGTGCGGCGGCGGGGGGGCGCGGCAGCTGGGGGAGCGGGTGTGGGAGGCTCGCTGGCTGCCGGGGGGGCGGCTGGCGCTGGCGCTGGGCGGCGGGGCCGTGGCGCTGTACGAGTGGCGGGGCGGGGGGCGCTGGCTGCGGCGGGCGCGGTGCGGGGGGGCCGGGGCGCTGCGCTGCGCCGTGCTGGCGGGGACGGGCTGGGGGCGACTGGCGCTGGCGGCCGGCACGGCCATGGGGGACGTGGTGCTGTGGAGGGCGGCGGAGGCGGAGGAGCCGCGGCGGAGGCTGCGGGGGCACCGGGGCGCGGTGCTGGCGCTGAGCTACGCGGCGCCCCGGGGGTTGCTGGCCTCCGCCTCCGAGGATCGCAGCGTGCGGCTCTGGGCAGTGGGAGAGCTGGGAGGGAGCGGTGAAGCCGTGTGCCTGCTGCTGTGCTACGGGCATGGGGCCAGGGTGGCCGCCGTGGCGCTCCGGGGACCGAGCCCGGTGAGCGCCGGGGAGGACGGAGCCTGCCTGGAGTGGGGCGGTGGCGGCGACGTGCGGCGGGCGAGGCGCGGGCACCGCGGGGCCCTGCGAGCCCTGGCCCTGCGCCCCGCCGGGGGGTGCCTCGCCACCGGCGGCTCCGACGGCGGAGCACGGCTCTGGAAGCCCCGGCGGGACGCCCCGAGCCCGGTGGCGGTGGCGCTGGGAGCCCCGGGGCGGCCGCGGGCTGTGCGGCTGGCGGGGCCACACCGGGTGCTGGCGCTGGGCGAGGCGGGTGGGCTGGAGGTGTACGAGGAGGCAGCAGGGCGCTGGGTGCCACTGCTCGGCCCCGCTGCCACCCCCGGGCCCCGCGGGGTGCTGGCTGTCACCCCCCTGCCCGGTGGGACCGACACGCTGTGCGCCCTGGCTGGTGGCCACGGGCATCTTCTTGTCTTCACCCTCGACCAGCCCAAGCATGCCGCCAGGCTGAGGCTGTTCGAGGGGGCTGTGATGGGGCTCAGCTGGGCCCCCCGCCCCGGGCTGCCCCTTGTCACCGCTCTGCTGGCCTCCGGTCCCCACGGGGAGATGCTCTGGCTGGATGTCACCTGCTGCCCCGGGCGGGCACCCTCGGTGCGGCTGATGGGGCGCTACCGGCTGCCCCCCTGCAGGCAGCGCTGGCACACCTGTGCTGCCTTCCTGCCCCAGGGAGGGCTGCTGGTGTGCGGGGACCGCCGGGGCTCCCTCCTCCTCTTCCACTGCAGCAGCTCCCCGGGGACGGACACAGAGAACAGCAGCACTGCTGACAGAGGTTCCCCAGTTGGTGAAGACTCTGAGAGTGAGTCGGAGCTCTCTTGTTTGTCTCACGATGGGACTCTTCCCGTTGAGGAACCTCTCTCCGTGCTCTTTGGGCTGCACGGGAAGGCCGGGGTCACCTCGGTGAGCTGCCACAAGGATTACATCTACAGCACGGGCCGGGACGGCTGCTACCGCCAGCTGCGCCTGCAGGGCCGGCAGCTGGAGGTCTTGTGGAAGCACAGGCCCTGCAAAGGGCTGCAGTGGATCGAGGAGCTGCGCTTCACCCCCGGCGGGGACCTCCTCGTGCTGGGATTTCACGCCGACAACTTCGTGGTGTGGAGCACCAGGACTGGGGAGAACCTCCACTGCATCCCCTGCGGAGGAGGGCACCGCTCCTGGAGCTACTGCAGCAGCCCCTTGGCCGAAACCTTCACCTACATCAAGAGCGGGGACGTGATGCTCTACAGCAGCGAGGCCGAGCCCTGCGAGCAGCAGGTGCTGCTGGAGTCCCTGCATGGGCGGGAGATCGCCTGCGTGCGGCGCCTGGGGGCGGTGCAGGCACCCAGCCACCACCCCATTAATGTCTTTGTCACCGGCAGCGAGGACACCACGGCCTGCGTGCTCACGCTCAGCGAGCAATCCCGCGCGGCCGTGCCCCTCGCCAGGCTCAGCGACCACATCTCCAGCGTGAGGGCACTGGCGCTGGCCAGCCTCGTGCAGCCCGACACAGCGGGTCTGTCCGCCCTCCTGTTCTCGGCGGGTGGCCGGGCACAGATCGAGTGCTACCGGCTGCTGTGCAGCGCCGACACGGCCTCCGAGAGCGCGGTGTCCTGCCAGGTCATCCACATGGCCTCCCACCGGCTGGTCGAGCACTGGGACCGCATGAAAAACAGGCACAAGCTCGTCAAGATGGACCCGGAGACAAGGTGATGCTCAGTGGCTGTCGGAGGCTTCAGGGGGCTTTGGGGTTAGGGAGAGGCTCAGTCCTTGGGACCTCCAAGTGCCCAGAGCTGTGTCCAATGCTGGGCTCAGGCAGTGCTGTGACCCCTTCCCCCTAGGGCAGTGGGTGTGGAACAAGCATTGTGTGTCTGCCCAGGTACATGTCCCTCTCCGTTGTGCCTGGGACCACCACCGAGAAGCTGCTGGCACCCTGCAAGTTCCTGGCCGCTGCGTGCAGTGACGGATCCGTGCGGTGAGGAGCTGCTGCCGGGCTCAGCTGCCAGCTCCGCGCCAGGAGCAGGGCGGCACCATGCAGGGATTGGGGTGCTGGGAGCCCCCTTCTCCCCGCACCAACCTCCCCCTGCTCCACCGCAGGCTCTTTGTGCTGCTGGAGGCCACCCAGAGGCTGCTGCTTGTGGCAGAGTCGTTTCACCACCAGCGCTGCGTGCTGAAGGTGGAGGCGTTCCTGCACACACAGGCAGGAGGGGAGAGGTGAGTCCTGAGCACAAGGCTGGCACACGGCACCAGGGCTTTGGGGAGAAGGCTCGCTGAGGCTGGTGGAAGGGATGGAGCGCTTGTGGTTGTGGTGTCTGTGCAGCAGGGACGGGAGCAGTTGCTCCGTAGTGGCAGTGGGGCCCTTCCTCCGAGCTGGAGGGTGGTGGCTCCACCCTCCCTGAACACCTCTCTTTTAGGAGACACCTCCTGTGCAGTGCTGCAACCGATGGCAGTGTCGCCTTCTGGGACATCACCGCCCCTATCAGGGATGCCGTGGATGCCCTACAGCACGCTGAGGGGGAAATGCAGCCCCTGGGTGAGTGCAGCCCTGGGTGGCTCCTCTCCTGCCTCCCTGGGGACGTTGAGGTTGTCCCAGCAGCTGCCCTGCTGGCTTCAGCCTCAGGGAGCCTTCCATCCTAACAAAGCCTCTTTTCCCAGCCCTGGGCACCCCACTGCTCACCTGTCATGGCTCACAGCTGTGGCGTCAACAGCCTCCACATCCGAGAGCTGTCCGAGGGACGCTTCCTGGTGGCCAGCGGCAGCGACGATGGCTCCATCCACGTGTGCCTGCTGGAGGTGGCGCTGAGCCGCGACGAGGCTGTGCCAGAGCCCTGCCTGCGCATCCTGGAGCGGGTCTCCAGGCCCTGCGCCCACGCTGCCCACGTAACGGGGATCAGGGTGCTGCAGCCGGACCTGCTGCTCTCTGCCTCCGTGGACCAGCGCCTGAGCCTGTGGCGCCTGCACTGGGGCGGCCTGGAGGCGCTCGAGCACCTCCTTCTTCCATGTGCCCGACCTGGCCGAGCTGGACTGCTGGGAGGAGGCGGAGGCAGGGGGGGAGCAGTGCTGGTACTGCGTGCTCTGCGGGCACGGCCTGGAGCTGCTGCGCTGCGCCTGCCCCCGGGCAGCCCTATGGAGAGATGATGCCCGGTAAGAGGGGGGCGCACAGCAAATCCTGCTCCCCTGCGGTGACACGTGTGTTCTGTCACCTCAGCCCCTGCCCTAGCCTGGAGCTGGGGGGGCTCAGTCCCTCGGGGTAGCACAGCCTTGCCTGGGGGCAGCTGTGGCCTGGCCCTGACAGCTCCCAGGCACTAAAGGAAGAGCAAGGGCACCAGGACCTGCCCTGCCCAGGAGAGTGTGAGCTCTCGTTTCTCCTCCCATGGTAAGGGAGGGGTGGGGTGCATCTTTCCAGCTCTGCACTGCTCAGCCACTCTAGGGCTGGTGCTCTGGGTGCAATCCCACCACCCCAAAAAGCCTGGTGCTGTTTTTAGGACAGCAGGCTCCACGTAAGCATCGCTGCCCTGCTGCTAGGCAGGGGTGTGGGAACAGGCAGCAGCACAGCTCTCCCATCCTGTGCTCAGCACTGACCCTTTCCCAGTCCCCACATCCCTGTCCCTCCCTGCTCACAGTGGGGGGTCAGACACGCAGCATTTGTCCAGCAACGCCTGTATTGGACCTGTTGGACCAAAGGTTCTGTCCTGGCAGCCCTCTGGCTGCAGGAGCTCTCTGCCAGCAGAGCTGCCCTTCAATAAATGGCTTTGGAGATCGGTGCCTGGTGTTGTGGGTGTGCTGGTCCCCAGGGCTGCCTGCTGCACCACCTCCTTGTGCCCTGGGACGCTGCAGGCTCTTGTCCATCGCCCACCCTGGGCATGTCCCCAGACCCTCAGAACACAGTCTGGGAAGGGGGAGGCACCACGACGGGTTCAGATGACAGGTTCAGGTGTGCCTGAACTCCCTGCCCCGTGACTGTCCTTCCCCTGGGGGTGCTGGTGGCTGTCCCTCCGTGGTGCCACTCCTCGAGGGGGGGCGGCTCAGATCTGGCTGAGAGGAGGGAGGTGCAGCGTCGCCAGGGCACGGTGGAACACATCTCTCACTGCTCCCAGCAGCTGGAGGCGGGCAAACATCTGGTCAAAGAGGTGAGGGAAGGGCTCCTGCAAGGAGAAGGGCAGTGACAGGGGGTGGTGGCCGTATTTCCTGACATTGCTGCCTCTTCCCCCTGCTTCTGTGTCCCTGAGGGGCTCTGCAGCCTGCTGCCAGCAGACACCCCACAGCTTGGTCCCACCCTAGGCAGGGCTGCAACCCTCCAACAACCAGCCTGGGACATGCAACTCACCCCAAGAATGTGCACCCGGTTGTAGTAGGAGCTGAAGTCCATGCTGAGCTGGATCAGGAACTTGCACACCTGCAACGTGGAGCTGCTGTTAGTACAGGGGCTCTGGCCAGCCTGGAGCCACCCCGTGCAGTGTGAGCAGCGCCGTGTTTGCCATCTCCCCAGGGATCCCCCTCAGCACCCACCCTGTGGAGGCAGGGCCTTGCCCAGGGGCAGGGCTCTCGGAGCACTTATGCGTGCTCTGGGGTGTTGCACTCACTGCCTCGGTGTTGGCTGTGATCCGGAGCCCCTTGCTGGGTGCGGGCAGCTGTGCTGCTTGCTGCAGGACTTCAGGGAAGGGCAGGAGGTAGTTGAAAAGCAGGAGCCATTCTCCCTGTGAAAAGAGACACCCATCAGAGAGGGCCAGGAGCAGCCAGCCCGGGGAGCTGCAGGCACTCCTCGGGCCCCATCCCTCTGCGCTCACCTCTTCCCGGAGGCAGGAAAAGTTCAGCGTGGACGCTGGTGGCAGAGGTGGGTACGTTCCTGGAAAGGAGGGGAGAGACTGTGGTTGTGGCTAGAGTAGCCTGCAGGCACGAGGAGCAGCCTGGGAGCGGCAGGGCGGGCACTCACCCTGCTCCACAGCCCGCTGGTAGGTGTCGAACAGCGTGGCCAGCCGGGCACAGTTGTACATCACGAAGGCGCCGCTCTTGGTTCCCTTTGTGGAGATGCTGCTGGCCTCCAGGTCCAGGGTGAGCTGCGGGCAGGGGGGAGCTGCAGGAGGGGCTGTGCAGCAAGGAGCCAGCCCTGCACCACCTGCAGCCGTCCCCAGCAGCCAGAACACGACCACCAGGCTGAGCACCGTGCCCACACCCTGCACATCCCACTGCTGCACCCCGTGGAAACCCAACCCCTCATCGAGCTTCAGACAGCCGCAGGGGCTGTGCGGTGCCTCCCCTCACCCCGTGCTTTGCGTCCCTCTGCTCCTGCTGCTCCTCCACCTGTGCTGTGCTCCCACTGCCCCGCTCAGTGCAAACCACAGCGCTCATGGGCGTCCTACCTGGCTGCGGTGCGCGGTGCTCAGCAGCTCAAACCTGATGGCAGCCACCGTGAGGGTATCGATCACCTCCGTCCAGGCCTCGTCTGTGGGACACGTGGGTGGTGTCAGGCACCGCTCGCTGCAGCCCCGGCAGGAAACCTCCGGGGGGCTCTGCACGGCTGGGCAGGGGGCTGGGAACCACGGCGCCTCCCCAGCACCGACCCCTCAGGCTCTCACCGTGCGCGAGCTCCCCATACTTCATCACGGAGGCATCGTACATCTGGCGCTTTCGGAGCCTGGGGGGAACACGGACACTCAGAGCCACCGCCTCCGCCCAGCGCGCACCCACAGTCTGCCCCCAGCCTCCCTCAGCCCTGCTGCAACAGCAGACAAAACCTGCCTGCAGCAGGCCAGGGAGAGCAGCACTGCTGCTAGCAGTGGGGAAAAAGCCTCTGCACCAGGCCCAGGCTCTGCTTTTTGGCTTAAAAAGGGCTGCGCCATGCCAGGGCTGTCTGCTAATGCAGGGAGGCAGCAGCTCAGCGAGGGGGATGCTGAGCCTGGGGAGGGCAAAACAGTTGCTCTCCCCCCCCCTGCCCCATCCTGCATCTCCAGCCCTCTAGAAATGGCCCCGAGGAACAGAAAAGCAGAATAGAGGAACCTGGGGTTGCACAGGATTCTCCCTGCACCCCCAGGGAGCTCTGCAGAGCCAAACAGCACAGCACAAGACATCAGGCTAGCAGCACAACAGGCTCCTTGCTCAACACCCACTTACTGAAAGTACTGGTCTGCCCCGATGGGGAACGAGGGGTTCGTCACCTTCACTGGCCCACAGACAAGGTGCTTCTGAAAGAGAGAGGAGGGCGTGCTAGGGCAAAGGCTCAGAAGCTCTGCTGAAATGTGGTGCAGGAAGAGCTGTGCCTGCAGAGCTGCCAGGAAAACCTCTGCTCACGTCATCAGAAAAGGGGGGGCTGCTAAAACACAGCACTGCATTCAGTTAAGAACAGTCCTGTTCTAGCTTTGTCCCTGCGTTTTTCTCCTGTTCCTCCTTCTTTAGTGCTAAAATTGCAAGGGAATGGGTACTGCTCCGCAGCCCAGGCAAGAGGAGAGGGGCTGCCAAGGGGAAGGGAAGCCTCGCAAAGGTGCAAGGCTGGGCCTCAGCATCCCCTGCAGAGGTTGACGACTGGGCTGCCTCAGCACAAAGACGCAGGGGGCCACAATGAGGAAGGTGTGAAATTCCTCACCTGCGAAGCTGTGTGGGCTCCTGGATCCAAAATCCTCCAGAGCAGGTCCATCTGCTGCTGCTGGAATTCCTCCTCGCAGCTCACCACGTGCACGACGCTGCAGCGGCTTCCCTGGCCTTCAGCCTGTGGCAGAGCACAGCAGCGAGTTCAAACACTGCCACGTGACAGGAGGGAACATCTGGAGAGCGACTGCCAGGCAGCACTGTGGGGTCACTCACCGTGCACTGCAGAACGGCCTGCTGCAGCTCAGCCAGGGACCGCAGCTTCCCCTCTGTCACTGAAAGGAGGAAGGACACTCAGAGTGGGACAAAGGGCTCGTCTCACACAGCTGGGTCTGCCCCAGGCTGTCTGCCTTTCTGGCTCAAACCAGATTGGAAGGGAGTAAAAGGAGGAAACTATCTGAACCTAAACGCCCCTTATTCTCTGTAAGAACAGGAAAAAGCAAACAGGCCTTTTGCAGCCTTCCCCATTGCCATTACACCAGACACCACCCACGTGAGGCTCACCAAGAAGGACATCCAGGTTGGGGTCATAGCCCCGCCAAGCCCTGCTGCTGAATGAAGCTCTTCAGGTGCACTTTACAGACCACATCCTCCGGCAGCGAGGCTGCGCCTGGCTCACATGCTGCGGCATAGGGACAGCGGCTGAGCGCTTGCTTCAAGGCTGAGACAGTGTCAGGGCTGGCGGCACCACCGCAGGGCCACTCCACACGGAGCTGCCGCAGCACCTCCAGGCTCCCCTGCTCGCTGACAGCAGGGACCAGGTGGGCGCTGACCCTGCGGGTGAGCAACAAAAGCGTGTGTGTGCCAGCCGCATGACACGGGCAGCGTGACACCGGCAGGACGTGGGGGCGAGGCACTCACCCCTGAGCACGCAGCAGCTGGGCCAGGTGGTCGGCGAGCAGCACGGGGCGCAGGTGGCGGGGCGCCAGGGCAGCAGGGCGGCGCAGGGCCGGGTAGTGCAGCACCACCGCCTCCTGCCCCGGCTCCTGCCCTGCCCGGCCTCGCAGCGGGCGGGGGCTGCGTGGCGGGCGGGGGGCCCAGCAGTTGGCGGAAGGCCTCGGGGCGCCGCAGCTGCACGGCCAGCCCCGCGCCCGTCTGCTGGCAGCCCCGCACCCGCAGCGCGCCGGGGCCCGACGCTGACGTCACGGCCGCGATGACGTCAGGGGGGACCTAAGGGGCGAGACGCGCGGGGGTAGGGGGCTGCACGTGGCGAGGCCACGCCCCCTGCGCCTTAAGCCACGCCCCCTGTGTTTAGGCCACGCCCCCTCCCTCAGGCCACGCCCCCCTCCCCTCAGCCCTCAGCCCGCAGGCCCCGCGGCCTACCCGCGGCCTACCCGCCCCCCCCCGCCTACCTGCCCCCCGCTGAAGGCTGCCCTGAGCGCGGCGCGCGGCGCCAGGAAGTCCCGGTGCCGCAGGTTGCGGGCGCTGCTCTCCTTCACCCACAGCCCCGCCGGGCCGCCCAGCGCCTCGCTCAGCGCCCGCAGCGTCGCCGCCACCGCCGGGCGGCCCTCGGCCGTCTCCATAGCAGCCCGGCCGCCGCTTCCGGTGGCGGGGCGGAAGTGACGACACCGAGCTTCCCGCTCGGAGGGAGCCCGCCCGCCATGTTGAGCGAGGCGCCGCGGCGCTGCCCGGCGGCCATCTTGGGGGCTGCGGGCGCCATGTTGGGTGTGGCGGGCGGTGCGGCGCCGCCATGCTGGGTGTGGCGGGCGGGCTGGGGAGGGGGCACGGCCGCAAACGGGGGGCACCGGGCACGGCCCCAGCAGGCGGGGGGCAGCGGGGGGCTGCGGGCCCTGCAGCGCCGGGATCCCACGGGGCTGAGCCGGCACTGCACGGCCTGGCACGGCGGTGTTGGAGGGGAGGCTGTGGGGCACACAGGGGAGTCCCCAGGACAGCCCCCATGCAGCGCCCCCAGCCCCGCTGCTGCCCCCCGCCATGGGGAGCCCCAACCCGGCTGGGCTGCGGGGGCAGGAACCAAAAGTGTCAACACCGAAAGTGTCAACACCACAAGCACACACACACTGCTGGGCCATGAAACGGGGCGCGGGGCTTCAAACCCCACCGTGTGCCTGCAGCCCCAGCTCCCCCCGTGCTGGGCACCCACCGCCTGCAGCCCCCCATGGGCCCAGCCCAGCAGGGAGGAGGTGGAAGCGATGGGGTCGCGCCCTGCTGCTCGCCATCACGGCTGCGGTGCCCTGTGCACTGTGCCAGCTCCCCCAGCTGCCACCGTCCCTGCAGGCATTGGGTCCCCTCCTCGTGTCCCCAGCTGCAGCACCAGGGCCCCGGGGGGGCCGGCAGCGGCTCCCCGCAGGCACCCACCCAGCCCCAGCCTGGCTTCCTGGTGGGGCCGTGCGTCACCCGTGCTGCAGCCCCATGCCCCGGGGCCTGGTTTGTGGGGAGCCGGTATCCAGGAAGCGCCCAAACCCCCATCCGTGGCAGCCCGGAGCACGTGGGCCCCCCACCGCCCTTCCCTCCGTGCCGTGGGGGGGCCGCTCTGCCCGCAGGGCCCGAACCGGTTCCTCCGGGGCTAATGTGCACGGCAGGGCGAGGGCGATGCCGGCGGCGCAGCCCTTTGTTTGGGTGCCCTCAGGAACCCGGCAGCTCCTCCGTGGGTCCTGCAAATCCGAAACTTGAAGTGGGGGACACAGCCCCGCCGTGGGGATAGCCCCCCCAGGCAGCCCCCGAGCTGGGGTGCTCCCTGCACCACCCACAGCCAAGAGGTGATCTGAGAATCGCTGCTCACACCAGACCAACTGCTGACTGTCCGCAGGGCAGGAGCCGCCCAGGACCCCCTGCTCAGCTGCCAGGGGGGGACACATCCATGCTGGGCTGATGTCCCCCCCCCGGAGCCGCTCGATGGGGCCTGTAGAGCAGGGCTGGGGCTGGCTCTGTCCATCTCCATCACCAGAGCACCGGGGGGGGCCCAGCACATGGCAGCGCCATCCTTGCGCAGCTCCTTGCAGCAGAGGAAAAGGGCTCCTGTGCTCACTGTGCAGCCCGGGGGGGCTCTCAGAGGTGCCGAAAGAGCTTTGGACAGACACGACATCCCCGATGGCTCTCTGGCTGCGCGCTCAGCGGGAGTGATCGTGTCATTCCAAAGCCGTCTCTCTCTGGGGGCTGGATCCTGCCCGAGCACCGCTCCCCCCGTGCTGGCACACGGCCTCCTGCCGCCTGTCGACACCCCGGGGTCGGGGAGAGCCCCGCACGGGCTGGCGGTGGCACGAGGCTCATGCAGCATCTCGGGACCCATGCGCCCCAAAGCAGGTGGCCACGTCCGTGCTATGGCCAGGAGCTGGAGGCCACCGCTCGGCACGCTGGCCCTGGTGGCTCATCCCCAGGAAGCGAGCCGCTATCTTTACCCATCAAGAGCACGAGCCCACCGGAGAGACCCTGGTGCATGGGGCTGAGCCACGAGGCTGGCTGTGATGCCCCATCGCACCCCCCTGCTCAGCCCCACGCAGGGGTTAGAGCAGGGTGAGCGGCGTGAGGACGGCGGGTGCACGGCGGTGGCGGCTGAGGCAGAGGCGGGAGCGCGGGTAACGAAATCCCAGGGCAGCTGGGCGCAGCGGGGACAGCTGCTTTTGGGATTCCGTTGCCCGCGCCGGCGCCGAGGAAGGACGGGCATGGGGGGCCACCGCCCTGCACCCGGCTCAACCAGGCCGAGGGGGAGAAGGGCGACTTACCGCCGGGGTGGAGGAGCCGCACGGGGGCCGTGGCCGGGCCGGTTGTGTCTGGGGGTGCTGGGAGAGGTTGTGCTGGGGTTGTGTCGCTGCTCCCCCCTCGCTGCGGGCCAAGTGCCAAGGGGAGGGCCACGAGGAAACGGCTCCGAACAAAGCCCCGGTGGGGCAGGAGCATCTGGTGCCACCGGAGCAGCCCTCAGCGGGGCCCGGAAACCTGAGCCGGCCCCGAGGGAGGGCACCCGCCTCGGCACCTGTGCCAGGGGTGCTGGAGACGGGCACAGTGTGGCCCCCCCGCTGCCACCAGCCCTGTGTCACCCGGCCCTGGCAAGGAGCCCCTTGGGCACCCGGGGAAATGAAACCGTCCCCTGCCCTGCGGGGAATCCCGACGGCTCCCCTACCCCGTAGCAGGTCCCGGTGTGCTGGCGGGAGCGGTTCCGTGACCGACACCGGGGGCTTCCCGTTACTCCCGGCCCTGGCTCCAGCCCCAGGCAGGTGGCATGAGGAGGGGGCTACGGCTCCGTCCGGTCCGGCCCCCCACCACCGTGCCCCCAGCTCCCCTCCGAGCACAGCACAGACGGGGAAACGGGAACTGGGGAGGCCACAGCAGCACGGCGAGGCTACCGGGGCTCAACCGTGCCACGGGGCGACACCTGGGGCTGCCCACCCCGCACCGGGGACATCGCCCCCAGCCCCACAGAGCAGCGGGAGCCCGGTGGGCACATGCCAGCACCGCCCGGTGCCCACTGCTCCGGGGACTGAGCGCCCCTCTCTCAGCAGGACAGCCCCGGGGCCGGCTCCCCACGGCCCCCCACGGGGCTCCGCGCCCCCCGGTCCCCTCCCCGAACCCCCCGGTGCAGGGTGGCCGAGCCCCCCCGTCCCCTTCCCGGTGCGGCACGGCGCTGCCCGCCGCCGCTCACCTCCACCCGCCGGGCACCCGCGGCTCCGGTGACCTCCCCGGTGGCTCGGGGCCGTGGGGACCCCCCCCCGGGGCAGGGCCGGGGCAGAGCGGGGAGCCCCGCAGGCAGCGCTCCGCCGCCGTGCCGCCCGCTTCCCCTTCCCCGCCGCTGCCGGTTTCGGTTTTGCTCCGGAGCCGGGGCCAAAGCCCGCCCCGGGCGGACCCGGAGCCAGCGGAGCCGCCCGCTCCGGGAGTCCCCGGCTTCAGCCCCGCTAACGGGACCCCCGTTATCCCCCCCCCCCCGGTGTCCCCCCGGTGTCCCCGCCAGTGCAGCCCCGACCCCTCCCCACAGGTGCCGGTGTCACGGGCTGGGTGTGAGGGGGCGAGAAGCGATGGTGGCGGTGGTGTTTTTTTTTGGGGGGGCGAACACTCCCACACGGCCCCGAGCCCACCGGGGGCGCCCCTCGTGGGGACCGGGCGGGATATGGGGGGGGGGGGGCACCGGGAGGGGCGGGGCTGCACCCGCGGCCCCGGCGGCCACAAAATGGCGGCGGCGGCGCTGAGGCGGCTGGGCCGGGAGGGAGCGGGGCTGGCGGCACGGTGCGGGCTGGGGGGACATGAGAGGGACCGGGGGGGCTCGGTGAGGGTCCAGGGGGGGTTTCCACGCCGGTACTGAGGCAGCCCCGGTTCCCCGCAGGGCGCCGTGGCGCGGTTACCGGCTGATCCCGGCGGACGACGAGCTGTACCAGCGGACGCGGGTGACGGTGCTGAAGCCCGAGAGCCCCGGCAGCGCCTTCATCGAGGGCTACAGCCCCCGCGGCTTCACCATCAGCGGCAGCGTGGTGGTGGGGCCCTGCGCCGTGCTGCCCCGCACCATCCTGCAGTGGAACGTGAGTGTGGGATGGGAACGGGACCGGGAATGGGACCGGCACCGGGACCGGGAATGGGGTCGGGACGGTGCCGGGGTCGGTCCCGAGCCGCCCCGTCCAGCCCCGTGCTATCCCCGCAGGTCGGCTCGTGGCAGGACATCTCCTTCCAGAGCCTGGCGCTGTTCCGCCTGCTGGAGCCCCCGGTTGGTACGTGAGGAACCGGTACCCCCAGGGGAAGGTGTTGGGGGGCTCGGGGGGGGCCACTCCAGCCCCCATCCTGCCTGCCCCCGCCGTGTCCCGTTGCAGAGGTGCTGGTGCTGGGTACCGGGGACAGGGTGGAGCGGCTCCATCCCGCCGTGCTGAAGCAGATGCGGGCGTGCGGGATCGCCGTGGAGGTGCAGGACACGGTGAGGGGGACGTGGGGGTATCCCGGGGGGGCAGGCGGGCTGCAGGGAGGGGGTCGTGGCCCCTTCACCCTCCTGACCTTCTTCATCCTCTTTCCTCTCCCAGCCCAACGCCTGCGCCACCTTCAACTTCCTATCGACCGAAGGGCGCCTCGTAGCCGCCGGGCTCATCCCCCCGCGGGGCACCTACAAGGAGGGCTAGGTGCTGCCCGCCTCCACCATGGACTGAGCGCCTCGTCCCTCGCCTGCCAGGCACTGCAGGGGCTGCTGTGCTCCCCCCATTGCTGCTCCCGAGGGAGAAACGCTGTGGGAGGAACTGGAGGGTGTGGGGAGAGGTCGGGGCTGCACAGCCCCCGGCACGCTGGGGGGTCCCCCAGGAGAATACACAGAGTGGAAGTACAGAGCGCTTGTCTGGTGGTTAATGCACGCAGAGCCACATGTGCCTGCTGCCAGCAGTGCTGTTGGTGCAAGCACAGGTCTGCGGCGCTGCCTGGTGGTGTCCCTGGCCTGCCCGAGGCTCTGCTGTGGGGTTTTGTGTTTGTGGGGTCCCTGGAGAGCCCCAAGCAGTTGTGGGTTACCCACAGTGCTTGCTCTCCCTCTCCCTGTGGGCTTGAACAGCTCAAGCAAGGGATACGGAGCAGGGCACAGAGGGGATGCTGCTGCAGTCCCTGGCCTTCA